TAAATGTTTACAAAAGTTAAAATCAATCTCTCTTAAGAATTGTCTGTTCACCAGTACCACTGACTTGATGTTCATCTTTCCAACTATGTCGGCAAGCTGTCCACATATTACTTTTGTGCATATTATTGAGTTTTACTTGTCAAATGTATCAAAAAAACCTTAAACTTAGTCAGTTGAAACACATGAACAGTTGAGAGGATTCTTAAGTTGTTTGTTTTTAGACATTTATTACCCAATCACTTTTCTTCAATTCTACAAGACTTTTGTTAGATTTTTCTTTCTTTAATTGATTAGTGTTTGGCAATTACAGCTGGATTTATATAAACTACTATATCTTAAAATATACCATTCTTCAAGCAGGAATAGATAGTTCATAAGGAGTAATACAGCATTCTTTACACTATAAAAGGACAAAAGATCTGTCAAATAAGAAAAGAAAGAAAACAGCTGATGAAAGATTTTTTTTCAGATATTAAGGTGCCATTGCAATAGCAGAATAATAAATTATGTTCAGGCATATCCAAAGAGACTTTGCAAAAGGAATGAATTTGTTCAATCTTGTGTGAAATATAAAGCTCTATGCTGATAAGAAATCTTGACTTTCTCCCACACATCTAGTTGCCACTGGAGAATCAAATCTGTATCCACAAAGACTACCTAAACAAGAGCCATTTAAAGTGTGGGTAGTTAATGGTCCAGTATTGAATCAAATTTAAAGCATCTTGTAAGGAGTGATATGTAAACCAGAATTACAATCTTGTGGCTAAAGGGAAGACATTCTATTTGTAAATTTTTCTTGGTCAATTCACAAGGTTGCAAAGAATAATATTAAACAAAATAAAGCTTTAGGGGGGGCAATAAATTAAAAAGCTGAAATCGATCAAGGTTTTTAATGAAATGGCCATTAAAACAAATCAAATAAAATGTAATTGTGTTTATAGAAGTTTCATTTTTTTATTATTATTATTAAATGATATAAAACGAATTTATTATATATAGAGAAGCTGAAAAATAATATGTGAATACTATTCCCAGATTTTTTTTCTGGGGGCCGGGCTCCCCATGGCTACGCCTCTGATTGCCCTGCATTGAATGTCTCTTTCGGTTGGTCTGATAGTTGATGACGGTTCGACTTCGCCATCTTGTGTAACTGACTTTCTCTGCTTTTTGTCACTTTCGTTTGTGTCTGTATTTTTCCAAGAGCAAAGCCACTTTGGGCTGTCTGCCTGTGCAATTAATTTCACCTTCATGTCGTTCCTTTTGTGAAATATGACACGCTATTTGTTTGTTTGTTTTTAGTTAAGCACAAAACTACACAATGGGCCATCTGCTCTGTGTCCATGACGAATATCAAAACCTGATTTTTAGCGTTATAAGCACACAAACTTACCGCAACCTGTGGAGGGAGGTATGACGCGCTTATAAACTTTTATATATATATTGTTGCATCAGCGAGGTCACGTGACTAGTGTCACGCCCCCTGCTTTCTGGAAATATCTTGTACCTTCGTGAATTGTCGGGAGATTACTAGATATAGGGTAGACTGGTATATATATAAGAGGGTGACGGCGTGACGCGACAATGTGTGTGTAGGTAGTGAGTAATTGATCTGCAGTCAGAGAAAATATTGTTGAAGTTCGTTATAGCGTTTGTTTTAGCGCGAATGTTGAAATCAAGTGTATCGTCAAGTTATATTCAGAAAGAATAAACCAGTTTTATTAAGTAAGGACTTGTGTCGCTAAAGTTTCGTCGGAACGAAGTTACGGAAAGTTAATTAACAAACGGAGACGTAACAATATATAAATAATCACTCTGTATTTTGTAATTTTACAAGACTTCTTCTTTCATTAATATTTTTTACACATTCTACGGTTCAAGCCGACTATGTTATAAGAAGTCTGTCACAAAGCAAAGAAACTTATGGCAAGTTGAAAACTTGATAATGCGTAAACTACTGAATTTTAAAAACCTTCGAAAAATTATTTAATTAGACTGTAAGCCTCAACTTTGCAAGGTGAAATTTAAACGTTCCATTTATAAGTAGTTTTTACTTACAAAAAATGAAATTTTATAATTTGTGTTAAATCTTTAAATAAGTTACTTATATCTAATGTA